ATCTCAAAAAAGCTTATTTATGAAAAATATTCAAAAATTGAAAAATGAAAAAGTGATAAACTAGATTATAATAAGAAAAAACTTGGCGTGCCCGGGTCGTTTTAAAATGCAATATTCCACATGTTTTATAGTATATAAATTATTTGCAGATGTATACAAACATGAAACTAATAGTCAGACAAAGTACCTGGGTCTCATGAAAACGTTCCACAGCCAATGATTAATAGTATATGAAAAATTTGTAATACAAATAAATATACATATATAAAAACATTATTACATACAATAGTTGCGGATATACACAAACACGAATGCAATAGTTAGATAATAGATATGTACAAACATGAATGCAATAGTTAGATAAAAAAGCATTATACACTGGTCCAAAAAATTAAAGGATCACCTGTTCTGGCCTCCAAAAATAGGCAAACTTCAAGAGAGTGTAACTTCGTCAAAAATGATCGTATCGAGATGATCAAAAAAGCATTTTACAGCTTGAAATCTCTACTTTCCAAATCGGTACTTGAGAAAACGATCCTACTGATGTTTCATGGAATTACACGGATAGAAAGGGAGACCCGACGAATCTCAAAATTTTTTACGAACTTTGACGGCGCGAATAAAAATTCGCATGCAAATGCAGTTTACAGCTTTCGAAAGAGTGAATCTTTACCTTTAATTTGCTTTTTTTTTGAGTGTTGTACGATTTTTTTTCACCGAGTTATTCAACATTAAAGCAAAAATGGTCCTTTTTGCTTCAATGTTGAATAACTCGGTGAAAAAAAATCGTACAACGCTCAACAAAAAAGCAAATTGAAGGTAAAGATTCACTCTTTCAAAAGAAGTAAACTGCATTTGTGTGCGATTTTTAGTTTATGCCACAAAACTTTTTAAATTTAGTGTACATTTTTGGAGATTTGACACATTTTCATTTGGACTTATGTAATTCCATAAAAAATCAATAGGATTGTCGCGAGGCCGATGCCCCCGCAACAACAATAAGCATTGTGAAAATCAATCAATAGCCATTCGAGCCGACGAGGCATTCGGCGTAAAATAAGTAATATCGTATTGTATTAAAAAATTACAATAAATCAGGACGTTGACCGCGACGTACTGAGAACGCGCAATGCAATTGCCGAAATGCTGAGCGCTGACGCGGCAACGCGTAGCCATA